CATGATCCATTTTGAATAGACTTCTCTGTAAAGAGAAGCCTTCCCACCAGCCTGGTTCCAGAGCCGCATCAGTCCCAAATGAACACACAGGAGGCTATATTAATTATGAAGCTGTTGGCCTTGCTTGTTTCTTACTGGCTAGCTCTGACTTAAGTATTTACCCCATAATTGTTAATCTAAGTATGTCTCTTACCAGAGAAGTTTCCAGGCTTCTTATCCCTATGGCAGCTACATCTTGACTCCCTGTCCTACCCAGAGTCCTCCTCGATTCCTAGTCCCACGTATCTTGTTTCCCTATTGGCCAACAGTGCTTTATTGACATATACACAAGACTTCCCCAACACTTCTCCATGACTAGACTCAATGTTACCCATCCACTTACCCAAAGTTTCCAATGTCATTTACTGCAAAGACTCTTCTTTACTCGTTGGATTGTTGAGGCACCTAAGTAAAGGATCATCTGGAGTCTAGTCCAGCCATCGTATTTTAAATGGCATTAACCTAAAACTAATTTTTCTCCAGTTTGGTGTAGTGTCACTTCTTCACTTGGAAGAGCTGATTAATACCTAATCAAAGACTTCAGGGCAACTATTCCCATGCTGGCCTTTACACTCCAGTCTGCTGCTTCGGCCCTCCTGAGGTCTCCTGAATCCTACACTGAGAAAAACTGCTGGATGGTGTCTGGATTTCTGCACGGGGCTGCAGCCGTGAATTCTCTGCAGGCTGTCTTCTGGACACTGCAGGGATCATTTTACTTGTGCCCTGTGGGAACTTGCTTTCCTGCCTTATGTGTTCTCTAGTAGGAAACCACTGTTTCATAATTTGCTTTTTTTCCTGCTCATGTAAGGTAGGAGAGCAAGTCTGCTCATTGTTCCCCCATCAAGGCTGGAAAGAGAATTTCTAATAGGACTATTGTTTTAGTATTTGCCAATCTGGTTTATAATGTGAAGTGCCTATCCTGGGACTGGAGTTGTAGCTCGATTGCTTGGATGTCACATTGTGGAATGACAAAAGAAGATTTCCCTTTGAGTGGCCTAGATCAAGAGCCTCTCTGTTATTATGTATGATCTGTTGCGGTTGTCTGTCTATCTTGCCTGTTTCTAACAAAGGGCTTTGCTCTGTGCCTATTGAACAACTCAAAAAACATGGTATGGGAAGGGAATGAGGTTTTTAAAAAATTTTTTACAGAACTCTTTAACAGAATTTTATAAGGGAAGGGGGTAATTTACTGGTCCCCAACTGATGGGGAAGAGCACTACACACAGATGTTATTAAACATATCCACATGCTGCTTCCAATATCGATGGTGCATATTTGTTATTTGTTGTGTAATCTTGCTGTCAACCTCTTGGCAGCAATCATTACCATAACACACACACACACACACACACACACACACACACACACACACACACACACACCGCACACCGCACACCGCACACCACACAAAACATAACACAATACACACTATTCTTTTTTTGTTGTTGTTGTTTTTGGTTTTACGAGACAGGGTTTCTCTGTATTGTTTTGGAGGCTGTCGGTCCAGCCCGGCCTCAAACTCACAGAGATCCTCCTGCCTCTGCCTCCCAAGTGCTGGGATTAAAGGCATGCGCCACCACCGCCCGGCTAATACACACTATTCTAAGTTAGGTGAGGGCCATGAAATATAGCATAGTTTAAATTATGCATTTATCTTTGGTTATAAATGATGACTACATGGAACATGAAAGGTATAGCCAGGTTATTTATATTGTGTTCTTCAAGTCAGGTTAAACTTAAGCAGGCCGAATATACAGTATACAACAGATGACTACATAGTTCTAAATGATCTCAAGGCAGATTATCAACTTTGTTTCAAGGTCAGGCAACAGTTCAGTCTCTCTGAAGACAAGAGATAACTTTCAGAAAGAGACATCACCACGGTATAGTGTAGTACTTGCTTTGATTTCTTTTCCATTGCTATTACAGGACACTGACCAACAACAACTTGGGAATGAAAGCGTTTATTTCAGCTTACAGATTCCAGTCTGTCATCAAAGGAATTCAGGGCAGGAACACAAAGAAGGAACCCAAAGGTAGGAATGGAAGCAGAGGCTAAGAAGGATGCTGGTTGTTACTTCCTTGCTTTCTCTGACTTGTTCAGTCTGCATTTTCATACACCCACATGCCTAGTGATAGAGCTGCCCATGGTGGACTGGTCTCTCCACTAGTTAGCAATCGAGAAAATGTTCCTACAGACATTCCCAGAAGCCAGTATGATGGAGGCATTTCCTCAGTTGAGGTTCCCTTTTCATAGATATGTCAAACCAAAGCTAACCGTGACACTTAGCATATGTGATGCCTTGACTTCTATCTCCAGGTTCACAGGGGGAAAAAAAGGCTGCCTTGAGCACATTCACACATACCATCATCACCACCACCACCACCACAGCTTCCTCTCATAGTACTCATCTGGGTTATCTACAAGTCATTGTGGGTTATAATGGCCTAAAGCCAGAAGTGGGTAAGCTCTCCTCCATCTGGATGGAGAAACTTCTTGGTAGTTTGGGTTGTTTGCTCATTCATTCTCAGACTATGATACACATTTAGTTTTCCTGGATTGCGTTTTGGGTGATGCCAATTTCTGTCTCGGTGACTTGAGGCAAAATAACCATTCTGAACTCACAGGCATTTCAGAAATCAACACATCTATCATACAAGCTTAATTAGCTTCTTAGCTGCTTTTCCTGGTGCTACCTCCATTTTAGCTCCGGGTACTGCTGTTTTGCTCACTGTGGACGTCCCATCCTTGGCCCTTTTCTCCTCCCCTACTTCCCTGTTGTCTCTCTCTTTCTCTTTTTTAAAAAATTTATTTATTTATTATGTGCACAGTGTTCTGTCTGTGCACATGTATCCCTGCAGGCCAAAAGAGGGCACTAGATCTCATTACAGATGGTTGTGAATCACCATGTGGTTGCTGGGAATTGAACTCAGGACCTCTGGAAAAGCAGTCAGTGCTCTTAACCTCTGAGTCATCTCTCCAGCCCTCAGGCGCCACAGTCTCCCAACCCCCCCCCCCCATGTTGTCTCTTAATGAGCATCCCTACAGCTGACTGCTCTCTGACTCTACTACTATCATACCATTGACTCTTATGTTGTTGTTTGGTTTAGACAGGGTTTCTTTGTGTAACAGCTCTGGTTGTCCTGGAACTAGCTCTGTAGAACAGACTGGCCTCGAACTCACAGAGATCTGCCAAGTGCTGGGATTAAAGGTGTGGGCCACCACCCCGCCCAGCACCATTGACTCTTAATTGGACTATTTTTGGAACCTAATAAGTCTCCACAGGGAACTTCACTTACCAGAGTAACCATTTTGTTAAGTACTGCCTATTGCCTTCTTTTGAAAAACCTTCAGTAATTGGTTTCCTTGGTTAGAAGAATGGAGAATACCCTAGCCACTGAGCCCCAAGCTAACCAGCACCCTCTATGTCATTTATTCTTAGTGGTCTCTTCCCATTAGTACATGATTAGAATGGGGATTTATGCAGCACACCCCATACAGAGAGAGTATTTCACATCAGAATCCACACTAAGCATGTTTATGAAGCTTGTAATTTGTTCTTATTTATAAAGTTCATGTGTCTTGTGTTCCAGCTTCTTAAACTATAGGTCACAACCCCACACTTTGTGTCACAAAAAAATTGGCCACAGAAAAAGGCCCCTGAGTCCATTCCCTATGGTGGGAAACCTTGATGGGGTTGGGGGGGTTGGTCCTACCTCAACTTGGTATGCCTGACTTTGTTGACTCTCCAAGGAAGGCCTTACCCCCTGGGAGGAGTGGATTGCAGTTGGAAAGTGGGGAGGTAGGAGAAGGTGGGGGAGGAGGAATTGGGGTTGGTATGTAAGATGAAAAATTAAACTTTTTTAAATAAAAAAAAACGGTTCCTGAATGTGCAGTGATCAAAAGTCAATCCAAATCAACTGTGTAACAATGTGGGTGTGTTTCTGGCAGTGATCGCCTGTGTTATTTTGCACAATATCACTGTAGTCTTGGCTCTGAACAAGTGACATGCACACTTTCTTCTGTGTGTGTCAACAGGCACCACAGGCAGACTGCCTGGAACACCCTTGTTCACATCAGCGACTATGCTATGAGTTGCAGTGCCGGTGCTGCACCAAGTTCTCTGTCCTTTACATACTGATAGCAGTTAGATTGTGGAAAGCCAAGGTTTTTAGTATTTCCCAGCCATCACTACTCAGCATGTTAAGTATGAGATCGGCATATCTTTAGATTCTATTGTGTTACAATGTTTGGCTTAAAAAGTTATTGTTTGGGGCCCTGACTGCATCCTATAAAACGTCACAGACTGAAGTTGGGCTTGAGGTTAGGACAGAGCTTCGGCAATGTTTGAAATGGCTCTAAACATACCTCTGCCATTCTGTACTGCGTATTTATGTGCGTGCTGAAGGGGTCTCACCATCGACAATTGTGTGATCGAAGTATGAGCCCATTCGGAAAACTGTGGATGCTGCTGAGCGGATCCTACAGTATCCATTACTCAGTCAAGACTTCTTTATGCAAAAACAAGCAAATCTGTCTCTAATACACACATTTGTTTCCAAAATATGGTAAAATTATATATGTATATAATTATATCTACCCATACGAACATCTATGTAGGTATAGTAACCAAATAACTTTAAAAATTTCTTTATGATTTATTATTGAAAAAATGCTTGATTTGTGTGCCTATTTTGTGTCCCTAGCTAGTGGAGGTTGAAAGACAATTTCTGAAATGAAAAGGGGCCATGGGAAGAAAAAGTTTAGGATGCCATGCTAAGTGCTGTGTACTCTCCAGCTCTGGGGCAGGAGGCAGCTCTGACATGCATCGCTTGGAGTAGGGCAAGCCTGGGCTGGGCTCCTGGGGCAGACAGAAAGCGCATGCTCCTTTGAGTCGGCTTCCCGTTGCTTAAGCAGATGGTCGGGAGGGGTGGAGTCAGGGAGACACGTCCCGCTGTGGACTGCTCTGATTGGCTGTGAGAAAGGCCTGTGCAGAGTCAGTCCTCTTATTAGGTCCATGTAGGCTGCAGGCTGGCCACACTCGCCTGGGCTGTGGTGGGCACTGCTCCCCGCGAGACAGAGGTTGGAGGACTGCTCCCGCTCCCGGTGAGTGACGGCCTCGGGCTTGTCCTGCAGGTCCGAGGGGCAGGTAGGGGAGGTCCCACCGCGGTCCCTAGCTGCTCTGTTCCCGGGTTACTTTCTACCACGGGTACCTGCATGTGCGTTGAGAATGGCGATACCCTGGGTCTTTCCAACAAGTGGTCTGTCCTTCCCTGAGAGCCCTCCGGCTTCCTGAACAGGCGCGATCGCCGATCAGGGAACCTGCTCAGAATTCCTTGGAGTGGTGGGGAGAGAGAATGCCCGCCTCTCAGTCTTCTTCCTGCATTCCTCCCGTTATCCCTCCTAGGCAGTGTTAGCCGAACACAGGGTCAACAGCAAACCTGGGTATGGGTCCTGGTCAAAACTCCAGTGACACTGCTGTATAATTAGCTAGCTCTTTGCTTTCACTATTTGACTGGTCTGACTCACATTATCCTGAAAAAAAAAGGGGGGGGGGCTTACTAGTACTGTCGGGTCGCTGGAGGAGCAGACTGTAGGAGGCACTGTTTGCAGGCTGGGTATTGCCAATAGCTTAGTTATTGAAAAGCCACATTGGACCCATATTTTCGTTTGTCGTTGAACTGCAGAGCTGACCTATTCCATTTCTCAAAAGCAGCACCTGCACATTTCGTTTGTGCAGGACTTGGCAGGGTCCTGGAGGTTCAGAGTTGAATTAGACTCAGCTCTGCCCTTCCCTCTTTCTGGGGTGAAATGAAGGCAGACAGACAATGAATTACATGTGAAGCCATAAATACTGTGTTAAAGGTGTTCTGAGAGCCCAGAACAGCACACTAAACCCAGCTTATCACAGTCTCCTGTAAGAACTCCCTGTCAAGTTTTTGAGCAACAGGGTCTTGATGGAAGGGAAGTCTAGTGGGTGATATTCCACCGGAGTAGTGAGTAGTGAGTGCCCTTGGAGACCACATCCCGGTTCTGTAAAACCAGATTCCACCACCTGCTTATTTTAAGCTATGCTGAGAGCATTTATTTTATCATATCTTCCCCCCCTTTCAGTCTATTTTTTTTTTTCCAGTACTGAAGGACCTCTGGGACAGTGACCTTATGATTAAAAGTAGCCTTGAACCGTGCTGTAGAAAGTTATGCTGGCGACTAAAAGCAATAGGCTTGCTTAGCCACCACAAACTCAGAATGATAGCTTCTTCTGTCTGAAATGCTGAGATACACTGTTGCTTGAAGAAGTAATTTAAGTCAGTTCTCCTCTGCAGTCTCCTGAGAGCCAATTTCCTAAGAATTGGGAAATACTTCCTTTAAGAGAGCCTTTGTTTAGTTATTTGTTATTTTCAAGCAACAGTCCTGAGGTATTAACATAGACTGGTAGGGCACATTTAGAAATTTCTAAGTCTTGCCATGGGCAACCTGAGAAATGAGTATATTCAGTAGTATAGAGGTGGACATGGCCCCTCAGAGCCCCTGTGCATGATCCTTGGAGATTGTTCCCTCTTGTCCTTTCTTCTCCCCAGACACTAATCTGTTTCCTGTCACTGTAGACTGCATTACATTTTCTTCAAGTGTTATGTACATTGGAACAATTTCTTCCCTCTCATCACCCCCACTCTCTCCCTGACTCTTTTGATGTAGCTTAATTATCTTGAGTTTTGTTTAGATTCTGTGTTTAAGATGAATTATGTATATATAAACATAATTTTTTAATCCATTCATTCATTTGGTTTGGCTCCCTCCCACCCCCCCACCCCCCCCCCAGCTTTTGGCTGTTCTATACAAAGCTGGTATAATTTGTGTGTAAGTCTTTGGGACTATGTGTGTCCACCTTTCAAAGTGATTATGTGCATTTTTAAAGTCCTGGATCACAGTTCCAACATTTCTTCTAACCTTACTCTGGGCATTGTTAGAGACTTGTGTCACGCCTCTCTTAGCGTCTCCAGTGCCTTGCTACACTGTCATTTTGAGCCATCACTGCGGTGATCATTTTTATTCGCGTGAGTGACAGTTCTGAATTCTGACATATAGTTTTGGGAAGGAGCAAACTGTAGAGACAGTGGCAGGGAAGAGATAATGTTGACTGAACTTGAAGATATATTTAAATCCCAATCAAAGGGGGGAAAGCGGGAGTTCTATGGCTCTATGGCTCTTCCTTTTTCTTATCCTGTCTAAGTTTCTCTCCACGTTGCTTCTCTAGGAATGGTTTGTTTAACTTTGTGAGGAGATGGTAAGTGGGTGTACAAGGCAGCATGTGACTACTGAGGGTGCTGGTTCTGGAGACTTCTTAGTGAAACCAAATCCATGTTTTCCCTTCCAGAGACGGCTCGAGTCACTTGCTTCATATTTGTCTTCCCGTAGGATTTTATCCTATACTTGGTTCACGGCTTTGAAAGAGGGCATTGAACTGTCAATGCATGCTCGTGTGGTAAAATTCAGCTGGCTACTTTAAACAGAGGAAGATGCAGATCATGGGCCTGGTGGCCTGTCTTGTCCTTGGGATCCTGCTTTCTGGGGGGCCCACGGGGTCCATATCACCTGTGGACCCTGAAGCAAACATGAATGTGGTGAGTTTCTAAAAGTCAAGTGCTTTTAAAATGCAGCAATGACAAGTACTGTTTTCTTAAATAGAGTTATATGAGCTGTAGGAAGTCATAACTCTAATCTCTTTATGGCTCCTTGTGGTTTTCACTTTTTCTGAATTGCAATTGTCACTTGCTAGACTTTTCCCACTAGATACTGCTGAACAGGAGACACGGCTTCCACCAAAAAATGTGCTTTAGTAATTTCATTCTTAAGTCATTTTAAACACGCTTCAAAATTGATAACACTGTGTAAGCCCTTTACAAGAATGCCTTTGTTTTTGCTGAACATGGACTGTGATTGACAGCGCCCAGGCACCATAACTCAATACAGTTGTGAAAACATCAGAAGGAATTGCTAGAAGATATAAGCAAAATATTAACCACTGAATTAGTTAAAACAAGTCAAAATCAATAGTCTCCAGTAAACAGGGGAATCTGGAAAAACTGCACATAAGAATACAATAGCAAGACAATATAGATTAATAAGAAACAGCAACTTTATAACAAACGCTGGATTGATCCAGCTGAAGAATCGGGTGACTGCAGTGACAGAAAAATTCCCAGGAGACAAGATAGTATGGCATGATACAGGCTTTCTTTTGACATCCTGTCTTTTAACAGTTCCCTTCCTAACAGAATAGTGAAATTAAAGTCTTGCCGGTATTTATGGCAGAGTGGATAGTGAACACTTCAGACTTCTAAGTAACTGATTTATGCTTTTCCACTGCGCTCCCAGTGATGCGTTCCTTGTGAAGAAGTGAATTTGATGACAGTTTCCCATTTCTTTAGCTTTTCTTCAAACTCACCTTGATGTCCTAGTGACTTGTTTTTGGGTCCGTGGCTGAAAACGATTTTTTTTTCAAAGCCTTATTGCCTAGGCTAGACATTTTGTGAAACATGAAAAAGGTTAGATGCCATATTCAGAAAAGAAGTGTTTATTTGTAACTGGTAGACGTGATGGAGACAACAAGGCACCAAATTTGACACACTTAGTGTACAACGTGTGAGGATGATGAAATACCTGTGCATATAAAAGATTGGAGCGTGAGTTGGGATCTTGGTTACCAGATTGAGCAGACTCAAGTAGCAACGATTCCCTTTCAAAAGCTAAAAAAGTCACTGCGCTTATTTTCTCCTGTGCCTGTTCTTTTTGGAGATTGAAGAATCGGAGTCCAGCATAGATTGCCCGTTGTCCTTTCTCTCTCCAGACTGAAATAATCGGGTACTGGGGATACCCGAGTGAGGAGCACACGGTCCAGACAGAGGACGGGTATATTTTGAGTCTTCACCGGATTCCTCATGGCCGGAAGAACCATTCTGACAAAGGTATGGTGTTTTCTGTGGCAAGACATAACAGCTTTGGGAAATCACTGCATTGTCTGAGTTGGTGAACATTTGACAGTGTTGCCACAGGACTGGCTGGAGGCCAAAGTACCAGCCAAGCTGAGATAATTGTTTTAAAGCCAGGTAGGTGCAAAGGTCAGATTCCATGTAGAGTGTCAAAATACCTACTCCTGTCGTTTTTCAAGGAAGCATTTATCTAATGAACTGTTTGGAGCATTAAGGAGTTGCCTTTTGCAATTTAAAAATTACTCAGTTTGTTGAAAAGGTAATATATTCAAATACTGTAATATATTCAAGTAATATATATATATATATATAATATACAAATAATATGTACAAAAAATCTAGAAGTATACAGTAAATACTTCCTTTTCTATCTTTCTAGTTTTTAAAAAGTGTTCTTGTATAATATCTTCATTTAAAATCTTTGCGCTTTCCAGACATTCATCAGAAACAAATATGGAGTATTTTTCTGTTGCAACCTTTTAAGTTTAAAATGTGCTATAAGGGACATAATGTTTTATTATTTATTATTTATTTACTTGTTCATAGAGCACTTATCTAGAGATAAGTGTATTCCATTGTATGTTTGTATCATGATTTGCTTAACAAGTGTTCTGTTAGTAAATATTTGTGCCCATTTGAATGTTCGGCTAACAAATATTGCTGCTCAAAACAACAAAACAAAACACACACATATATATTGTACAAGTTTATTTAGAAGATACATTTCCTGCCAAAGAATTTTGACGTCAGAAGACATATGAATTGTGCTTTTGACAGACTTTTGGAAAATTGCTCTCTATGTATGCATGCCCTGACAGTGAATTTTACTAGGAGTATATGGAAGTTCTTAGAGATTTGCCTTAAAAACATGAAACTTGGTATGTATTTATATCCTTACTTGTATAACTCATGACTCAAGGAAAACTGTAGCCCTGATGTGGATAATGGCATTTCTAGACAAACTACCTGAAAGTGGTAACAGCCATCAGGGTAATAGATTTTCCTTTAATCATCTCTCCAGATGTAGCCAGTTGCTCTTTGGAAATATAGGGTCTGGGCTAAGGTAACTGGCTAGCTCTGTCTTCTGTTAGGGTTTTACTAGACAGAGCGTGTTCTTGCCTTATGTGCTTCTTAAAGGGTTATTCAGAGCAGGCAACAAATCTGGGCAAAGATGAGCTTTGCACCAACACCTGCCTTATGCTTCTCCTGTGTCAGCTGACATGCCTATTTTCCCTTTCCTCTAGGTTCTGCCTGTCACAAGACACTAAATAATGCTTTTGTGGCTATGGGAGTGTTCTTTCTGAAATTCATTTGCAATTTTGTTTCAGAGGTTATAGTGCTATAGTATCGTATTTCCCTGGTGAATCTTTTACAAAACACAGGATGAATTGCATTGATCTGTCTTCCCTGATTGCCAACACATAAAGTATATATTTTCTGCAAGAGCGAGCCTATGATCTTAGTTTCCTTCCTTTTTTTCCCCCAAAAGTACCCGTGTACAGGTTTTAGACTCTATCTAAAGACAAGTACATATGGATATTATTTCCTATTAAGTACTTAGTCAATTAGTAATTACTAATATGAGCCATTGTTCAAAGGTCTCAGGTCAAACCATGCTGAGAGAATTTACAACCTCCATTTCTTCGTCCACCCAACACTGCAGTTAAAGCATACAGGGCACAGGACAGTGGTGGAACACGCCTTTAATCCCAGCACTTGGGAGGCAGAGACAGGTGGATCTCTGTGAGTTCAAGACCAGCCTGGTCTACAAGAGCTAGTTCAGGACAGCCTCCAAAGCCACAGAGAAACCCTGTCTCGAAAAACCAAAAAAAAAAAAAAAAAAAAGGCTCCGTCTTATGCACATACATCACACTGTGGCAGAGGGAGGGGCTTCCTGTGAAGGAAGGTGCCCTCGGACAAAGAGACAGAACTCTTCAGAGCTGTTAGATGGTCCCTTGCAGGCTGGGGAAGTAGGTACTCTGTCTTCAGAATCTGGATCACAGACAGAGTATTGTCAGCCAAATCTGGCTTTAGCTTTAGCTCCCCATTTTCCTTCATGGTTCTGAGGAGCCCCACCCTCTCCCTGGGTAGGGCAGTGATCCGATCCATGTGTTTACCAGCCAGCCTCAGAGGGGGCTTTTCTAGGATTTCTGTGACTCAGTTCTCTAAAGAAGTTGTGATTTTCCTCAGAACTGCATAGGTGCTTTTCCTATGGTTCATTCTCTGTGGCACTGGACAGAGGCTCCCTGTTATGTCTGTTGAGGAGCAGTGTGGTCAGTGCTGTTAATCTGCCATCCTGGAAGCCAAAAAAGCTGAAGAGAACACACAGTCCCCCAAATGGCATCAATCTTGTGAATGCTTTCACTTCCCTTCTGACTTCCTATTAATAGCACCATTGTCCTCCCAATGACCTAGACTAGACATTGCAAAGTCATTTCCCTTTTGTTTGGCAGTGCTGGGGATTGAACCCAGGCCCTCATGCATACTAGGAAAGTGCTGCCACCAAGTTATATACACAACCTGTGTGCGGAATCATTCTTGATTCCTAGTCTCTAGGTTACCCACAAATAATCCCTTGTTAATCCCTTTCTCCCTTGTTCTGACCACACCTCACGTTAAGCTCTTGCTACATTCAGATGGGCACCTGAGACAGCTCAGAAGCTGAGAAAATCTTGAATAACTCGTTTTTTGGGGGGCAGGATCCCCATGTACCAGAGAAAAAGAATCTCAAAGCAGGAATATGGGAATTTAGTAATCAATGCTCTTAACATATAGGAAGTAATTTTATGTAGCTTTATTCTATACAGGTAATTATGAAATCCATTAAAATGTCATTGACATTCTTGGGGAACACTGGTTTACAGATAAATGATGAGTGGGCTCTTCAGACAGTGTTTCTATGTGAGCACAGGGCTGAGCCAGGTGTCTACTCTGCCCGTGCCCTACTGTAAGCTCTGCTGCCTGCTGCCTCTTGTGCCAGCCTCTCTGTCTTCCTCTGTCCTGTGTAGTGTTGCTGATGAAGTTGCCCAAGGCTCAGCTATTATGTGGTTTTGTGAGCCAATGATCTTCATGGAGCCAATGGATGAAGATGCCTTAATATTCTTCTCCTGGCTGCTTGTCTGCACTTCTCACTCCATCCAGAGCAAAAGACTTTTGCACTTGTGGCTATTGGAGATTATTCTTGCAATTTTCCACATAAAGTGCGTTTATTTGATGTACATGTGTGCGTGTGTGTGTGTGTGTGTGTGTGTGTGTGTGTGTGTGTGTGCATTCTAGTGAACACCAGAGGAGACATTATATGTCCTTCTGTCATTCTGCACTCCAGTGTTTGAGACAGGGTCTCTCACTGAGCCTGAAGCTAGCCTGATAAGCAGCAAGCTCTAGTGATCCTCTTGTCTCCATCTCTCATACCATATTAGGTTTTGTATTTGTATGTGGATGGTGGGGGCTTTTCCAACGGAACCATCGCCCCACTTCTAAGCAACCATTCACATCAGATGTTGAGCCATCGCTGTATTTGCTAAGTGAATAAGGGAACTGAAATACAGAAATGAATCATTTATAGAGCAGTGGTTTTGTTTTTATCTGCTCAACCTTCATGCTGAGTGGCAATGCTCTAAGGCTCTCATTTCCTCGTTGGACCAAGGATTTGCAAAGCTTATACCTTCATAACATACTCCTGGCAGACTTCTAGGTATCTAGATCTTTATGTTCTTGATCTGTGTGCTCATTTCCTGCTCAAGACAGCCAAGGCAAAGATTGTTACATGGGCATTTTGACTGCAGAGGCAATATCCCTTGAAGTGACAACATGCCCTTGTATAAGTATTGAGCAAGCTGATCCCATGATGACCATAACTTAGACTTTATTTAGCTGAAACAAGGAAATACTACTTGTGCCAGCATTAAAAATAGAACACAAGACAGATTTACTTGCTAATTGCCTAACTGAGAAATCAGCAGGTTTTTAAAGAGACCCTATTCTGTATCTGAATTCTGCATCCAGTGGCCTGTTTGGTGAGGGAGCCCCCTAGGTGGTGGAGACCTGGACGGACTACAGGCAGCATTTAGAAACAGGCTTCTCTACTGAGGCCTGGGCACAGCCTCCCAGGGGTTGCCCACTAAGCCATTGGAGTCATAGGTGAAAGGTCACCACATGGCTTGTGAGTTAGTTGTCTTCCACAGAAAGGCCTCCAGGCCTTTGTTTTGATTTGATTATTTACTTGAGCATCCTGACCAACTCTAGGTTTTTCTTCCCTTAGAGAAACCCTCCCTTTGAAAGAAACCTGTTGTGGGTTTCTGGCTTTAATGAACTAACTGATTAATTAATTCAGTTTTAATAAATGCAGCTTCAGTAGGCCTGCGTAATCTGGCCCATGAGTCCCTGTGCCAGAGGCACTGAGCACACGCAGGTTTGCTGAGCTCCTACTGCCGCATTAGGTAGGGGATTGCATTTGGACCTTTGAAACTCAGCAACACAATTGTGGTAGCTGTGCAGTTTGTCTCCCAAACCCTGGTTGAGGTTGGAGCAAAAAGGGGGTGTAGCACGGAGGAGCCTACGCTGCTGCTCTGCCGGCCCCCTCCTTTCCTTACACTCCTCCCCTTGTCTTGGCTAGCCACTGCTAAATGTCATGTAGCTGGGAGATTTCCTCAGACACTCAGAACAGTTCCAGCCCCTGGGGCTGTATCTTCTGAGTTTGTTTTGCAGCAATTAGGTCAGCAATAACTTAGATGGATGATAACGTGTAATTACTACCTTCCCCATGTGGCTAAGTGCAGCTGGAGCTCTGTTGAGACCAAAGTCTTCTCTGACTTCTTGAGACTAGGGTGAGCACAACATTGGACTCCAAATGTTCCTTGTTCTAAGTTATAGTGGGATCAAGGTTTCCCTATTTTCCAGGCTCAGTGACAGCCATGAACGAAATCTCTGGGCTTACTGTGAAGTGTATAGCTAGCAACTGTGTCACCTAGTGTGAG